TCCATTTTTTGTGAGATTTTTGAGGTAGATCCCAAGGGCTTTTCAAAAACGTATAAAATGTATCACAATTAGAAAATAGAGAGGGGTCAATTTGCCCCCACCCCCCGCATACTGTCAGTTAACCAGACATCAGGCTAAATAGGGTTAACGATTTCTGAAAACATCTGCCGTTAACAAAAAAGATGAAATTGAGAATTGTTAACCAACGGTAGTTTCTTAATTTTTACGGTTTTATCGCCTTTTGCTTTTTGAAAAATATTTCCGACCTAGGATTATTGATTACCCCAAACTAGAGACGTTAAGTTACTTACCGTTTTTGTAACAACTAAGTAAAAAAACGACCTGCTTTACGAAGTTTTCATGAAAAAAATGTGTTCATTTTCATCTCAAAAGACAATAAAATTGTTTACAATTTCTTTTTCGGGAAATTGAAAAAAAACATCCCTTGCTACGCTTTGGATGTTTTATAGGCAAAATAGGTCTTGAAAACCCTTGGTAAGGTAAAATTCCTGAATTTACCTGTACAGTAGTTGTAAATAATTATATCTAACCGTTAACGAACGTTCTCAGCCCAACCCTTAATCCCATCTTCTATCAATCTAAATACAGACAAATATAAAATATAACAAAAATCTTGAAAAGTTAGACACAAAAAGTACAGCAAATGGGTAACAATATTTGTTTCACAGACTTAAAAATCACACAAGAAAAATGATATCAGCCTTCAGTGAGGGGGGAAGGCTGATAGCGCTTCCCATAGCCACAATATACTCACAAACATAGACTTGCTGCAAAGCACTCACTCGAAACACTTCCTTTATATCCACACCAAAATAGCTTCCGGCAAAATGTCTTAATTTTTAATGCCTAATTTTTCCACATATTTAAATCAAATTTAAAAAATATTCACGTTTTTACGGAGTATGTGTAAAATCATATTATCTATATGTATTTTCATATTAACAATCCTATATAACTAATTCATTTATTTGAAAAATCATGATTTATTTATATGCTATGTGAGGTTCACTAATAACAATTATCATATTTACCAACAGTAACATTCAGTAACATTGAAGGAATAAATGTTGACACGACAATTTTTCAATGGGTTTCATGATTATATTACATCCGGCCAACGTTACATCCGTCCTACGATACTTCGGACCTACCCGCATGTGGTTTTTCAGCAGCTTCTAGCTGCTGTTGGTCCAATGAACTGTATGTTGGAAACATCCATAGAGTAATAAAACGAAGAGGTAAAGCTTACCTCAGACGTATACAACCGACCTACCTATTACTTAATTAATAGAGTGGTCGGTTGTGTACATCACGATATGTTTACGTATCTTACACTGTACACTTGAATATAGAGTGTGATCGTATTTCTTTGGGGTGGTAAAATGTAGATAATTAAAAATTAGATAGACACTTATTATGGATTGTAAACACAGAATTGTACTTTTACTTTTTTTGATACTCTAAATCTACGTGAAATGTTGCCTACACATGATTGATGATAGATGTTAGAAATCATCGATTAATAACGAGACCCATCTTTTCATGTCAAAGTTAAAAAATCTAAACATTTTTTTATAAACTTGTAAGAAACCGAATCAAAGCATTTTTCGAGGTCAATCAAAAGCAATACCCCTTGCTAAATATTTTCTTTTGCATTGTAAAAATGTCATAAGTAGATGGATAGATAGATAGATAGATATATAGATAAATAGAAAGAAATATAGATAGATAAACATTTGAAATAATGTGTTCCTTTAAATAATTAATTGTTTATCTCCGATCCATAAACATCTGTTTTTTTATTCATCAGTTTCTTTCAATCTTTCATAACAAGTTATAATAGTTAATTAGCCTGCAGAAAATGTATATTCGGCTTTGACAGGAACAATTTTTGCCCACCTTTATTCCAAGCTAGTTCGTTTTCTAACCCTTCCGTCCCCTTGCTTCCCCTTCCCTCCCCTTCCCATCCCTTCCCTACCCTTCCCTGCCCTTCCCTGCCCTTACCTCCCCTTCCCTCCTCTTCCATTCCCTCCCTTTCCCTCCCTTCTTTCCTCTACCCTTCCCTTTCCTTCCCTCCCCTTCCCTCCCCTTCCCTTCCCTTCCCTCCCTTCCCTCCCCTTACCTCAACAACTTAGTATTTTAGTTCATTTAAGTTTGTATAATGGCATTGTGTGCATTCATATATTTTTCATCTTGAATTTGTATTTAGATTAACTAAGTTTGTGGGGAAATATAAAATTCCAAAGTTATTTATAATCTTTATGGAATTTAATTAAAGGGACTGTAAACGTAATTTCAAGTGACCCTCTATTTATAGATAACTATGGTTGCTTGACAAAAATAATCATTTCTGGGAGAATATTAAGTTTGAAAGATAAAATAAAATAATTAAACGTTTTAAATTTCAAGATAGTATACGAAATTCAAAATCCTGTAATGCGGCGATTCAGTCACTTCTGTTTTGAAATAATAATTTCGAATTCTGATTTTAATCCAAATTTCCGAATCCAATATTAGTTTACCATTCCTCGTTATTTTTCAACCTGCTTTATTAAATAAAATTTTCTATAATGAGGAATGTGACCTGGTGGTTAAAAAATTGCAATTAACTTTTCCTTGATTCCTAGTCTAAAATTTATAATTGTTCTTTATGTATTCTGAAATAAAAACTTTCAAGTTTTCAACTGGTTTAAAAAAAATTTTTTTTCGATATTCGTATGCTGTCAGAGGTCTCTAGGTCATCGTAAAACTTTTCTTTTAAATGCCGAATTGTTTTTATCTCAATGAGTTTTTATTTTTTTAATTGTTGATTTTACAGCGAAAAACTTTTCTACTGCTGGAAAGCATAAATATGTATTCCCATACAATAATATTATTATAATGCAGATACTAGTCAGGTTACTAGATACTATTTATTTTCATGAAATGTGCAAATCAAACTTTTGAAAACAGTGCCCGGTGTTTATTTCAATACAATGAAGACGACTTTGTATTCAATTTTGATAGCTGACAAGATTTTTCGATTCACAACATTACAATAAAACAAAGAGAAGCTGTTGTTTAACCCTAAACAGGCTAGGGGGAGGGAGGGGCCTTTGGTGCCTCCCTCTTTAGTTTTTTGTCCTAGCACTCTCTTTTTTGACACTATCATCGTGAAATTTTGTGACTTCTAATGAATAGAAATTTAAAGGATTTTTTGTAATAAAATGTTTTTGTAAATGCATAGGGTTGGGTACAGGGCGAAAAAAAGTCCGGTCTTTAAAAAAAATCTTAAAAAGCCCTCAACTTTTTTGTGACTAAAGCTACAGATCTGAAAACTATATCTTTGAAAAGCCCTTGAAATATTAATGTAGAAACATGTGTCACACTTTAATATTTGTTTAAAACAAAGAAATATTTTTCTAATTTTTCTAATCCTTTTTTTGGCATTTTTTCAACTCTTCCTAGCACCCATGAATGAACTATCAAAGTTTTTTTCAATGAGCTGGCCTTGAAAAATAGGACTATGAACATGCATTTTAACCCTTTACCTCTTCTCTAAGTCATTCCCCCCCCCCAGGCTATACATATTACATAGGTTCAGACCCCCCAGTCTTAATAGGGTTAATAGTTTCACTTCGTTTCCTTCGATAATAAGGCTGTGTTCGCACTGCATATTCAAGAAAACGTTTATTCGAACAGTAGAGAATAATTCAAATGAATGATAAGTGTTTTCAAAAGTTTTGATTAGAGCAATTTGTTGTTGTTTTGAATTCATGTTCAAAATTTACAGTGAATGAATCTGTGTTGGTAGATATTTATTTAGCTTTAAAGATTATTATGGGATAGTGGGGAGGTTGTTAGGTTCAGCTTTCTACCAATTATCCCTGTAAGCCAGATTTCTTCTTTAGCTTATCGTAAACAAAGGAGTTTCTAATCCCTAATTCCCGTAACTTTTTACTTTTTCATGAATTCTGTATAAAGTCTAAGTTCAAACTATCAATGCTTTACAATACAGTACAATTTGTCAGTTCGCAGTATAATCTGTCAGCTGAATCAGCTGAATTATGTGAAGAATATTAATCAAATGTATTAATGCATAATGCAATAAACACAGATAAATCTTTTAATTCATAAACAGTTCTGTCTTTCTATATTTGTTGCTCATAAACTTAACTTTAAAAGATTCATATTCTAAAGTCATGAATTCTTAACATTTATCCTGGCTTGGTGGTAATAAAAAAAATACATCCTTTTTTCTATATACTTCAGTCTTGTACACTGTAAAGCCATACTACCTTTAAAACTCAGACGTCTAAAAAACCTAGTAAAAACCAACTTGAAGCCAGGCTTCAGCACCATTTCTATCGACCAATAGCATACCAAAATTTGATGTACAATCCTTCTTTATTCAATGAAACCATGTACAGCGAGGCTAAATGTTATATTTGTATAGTATTATATACATATGTTGTGCGCAAAACTGCAATCTTTTGTGATTCAGTATCAATACCATGCATGTATAATGTATTGCCACCCTACTCTACGTTGTTGTGAATAAATCATCTGACAGATAACAAGTAAGTTATTTTACTATTGTCTTTGTAGAGTCTATAACCAAAGAGTTTCTGATTATTTGAGTGTTGAATAAAAGAATGTTAATATATTGAAAATCAAAAAACTATTCCTAGAGATATTAGCGTAAAACAATTTAGCTTAGATAAATTCCGTAGTTAACTCTACGTAGCTAGTCTTGAATAGTTTAAGTAAAAATTAAAGGATAAAATACTTTTATTATATTTAAAGTGTCGAAATTTGACACAATTACACCTTATAGTTACTATGGAACTCAGACAAAGGATCCTAGACTTGTATCATCAGTGTTTTCTATCAGGCCTAGCAGTTCCACTACACCTGTGGTATACGGGAGCTCAGGAGTTTTTCACATTCACAAATGCTCCTCTTCCCTTGTCCAGAGATTCTCTGTCATTAGGCTGGAACCGGCCAGGAGAAACAAAAAACACAAACTCAGATTTGAAACCCGTGGAGAAGGATAAAGAGGAGAAAAGAAATATGGAACCCCAGGATCAGTTTCTTCAGTAGTTCCTGACCTTGGAGCAGGTTCCTGCACAGCCGAATCCCCTAGAGTGGTCCTATCCAAAGAAAGAACCAGCAGGGAGGGTTTCAGCCAATTAGGACCCAAAAGAAAAGGTGCAGGTCAAGGATAAACACTTATAACAGTTTCTGATGGCGCAGGAACCCCTACAGCGGGTTCTACTGGATAAGGAACCCATAGAGGAAATCACTAGGATCCAGAGCTCTGAGACCAGTTTTCCCTAGAGCTTTTAGAACCCACAGAGCAGGTTTCGGTAATGAAGGACCAATTTTCTCAAAACTAAAAACCCCTGGTGCAGGTTCCTCTACAGTAGGAGCCCATGGTGCAGGTTCCTCTACAGTAGGAGCCCATGGTGATGGTTCCTCTACAGTAGGAGCCCATGGTAATGGTTTCTCTACAGTAGGAGCCCATGGTGATGGTTTCTCTACAGTAGGAGCCCATGGTGATGGTTTCTCTACAGTAGGAGCCCATGGTAATAGTTTCTCTACAGTAGGAGCCCATGGTGATGGTTTCTCTACAGTAGGAGCCCATGGTGATGGTTTCTCTACAGTAGGAGCCCATGGTGCAGGTTCTTCTACAGTAGGAGCCCATGGTGCAGGTTTCTCTACAGTAGGAGCCCATGGTGCAGGTTCCTCATACAGTAGGAGCCCATGGTGCAGGTTTCTCTACAGTAGGAGCCCATGGTGATGGTTTCTCTACAGTAGGAGCCCATGGTGATGGTTTCTCTACAGTAGGAGCCCATGGTGCAGGTTCCTCTACAGTAGGAGCCCATGGTGCAGGTTCCTCTACAGTAGGAGCCCATGGTGCAGGTTCCTCTACAGTAGGAGCCCCTGGTGCAGGTTCCTCTACAGTAGGAGCCCCTGGTGCAGGTTCCTCTACAGTAGGAGCCCCTGGTGCAGGTTCCTCTACAGAAGGAGCCCATGGGGCAGGTTCCTCTACAGTAGGAGCCCATGGTGCAGGTTCCTCTACAGTAGGAGTCCCTGGTGCAGGTTCTACTAAATTGTAGGAGCCCCTGGTGCAGGTTCCTCTACAGTAGGAGCCCATGGTGCCGGTTCCTCTACAGTAGGAGCCCCTGGTGCAGGTTTCTCTACAGTAGGAGCCCATGGTGAAGGTTCCTCCGTTGTAGAAGACCCTATTATTTCAGGTTTCCTAATTCGAGGAGTACTATCTAGTGCTTCTTACATAGAATCTTTCCAATCGTGTGATGTGAGCTTCACGAGGGAATCTCTAATCCACCAGTTGGATGGATCAGATCCCTCCCCAAAGTCCAAACCCATCTTTCATGGATCCAACTAATCTACCACTATTTTATTTTGGTTCACGCACATTCGAGAACTAATCTTTGTTAAATAGACAGTGAAAATATACAGTGAAACCCTTAATAACGAATACATCGAAAGAATTCATCAAATGTCGTATTCTTCACTTTCTGATAATGGACGACATTTGATAAATTTTTCCGATGTATTCGTTATTAAGGATTTCACTGTATATAAATGTAAAATGTCATTATAAACATGTATATTTAGTATATACATATTTTTAAACCAATAATGTTTTATGTTGTTATTTTACAAACTAAAATTTAGAATTTAAAAATGCTTTACACCATCGAGATGCAAATATATAGGAATATTTCAATATTTGAATGTGTGGCAAGAACTCAGTTCCTTTAGATAAAATACTAAATATATTGGTTGTGATTCCAATTTTTTAATCGTATTTTTAAGTTCTAAATTTACAGTAAAGGGTAATCTATATGGCACTTTTATGAAAAAAATGCTTAAATCTATCTTGCAGAAATTTATTTTTATATTCTTTTTTGCGTAGATCATTGAAAGCGAGAAAAACTCGTCAAAAAAATAAAGATGGGAATCCAAATATCCGTCTTGAGAGGCTGAGTTAAACACGTAAAAATCGTAAAAATAAAAAATAAATACCTGTATTTATATCCCATTGACCCAGCCAAATCCTACTGGCTACCGTCTATAGTACTGTCTGTCAACTCGTCACCGTAAATGCAAAGATTGCAACGCCCAATTCAAAACGGTACTCTTAAATCTTTTATAATATCATTAACGTGGAAGATACTGTCGTTTTTTTTAAAAGTGTTTAATTTTTTTCCTTGTAAACCTCTTAAATAATTTGTCATCCATTTTTTTTTATGAAATTCATATATTCATTTTTCTTGTTTTTTATTTTTCATTTTTAAAGATATCTAATTTCTCTAGAAAGCTAATAAAAGACGAGATTGGCACTATACCGTTTTAGCCAGCTTTCAACACAATCATAAAATTATTAATTAATACAATCAACTGCGCATTTAGTTCTAAAACGTATTATCAGGAATGGGAAAACGCATAAAAGGTTATTTAATAACCCGAACGGAAAACGTAGTTTCAAAACTATTTTGAAGGAAAAATTTTTGAAAAGAAATTATCAATGAAATCAATGGTATATTCGATTATTTTTTTTATGAATTCTTTTATTTTCGCCGATTTCTTCAAATTTCCTTAAATGTCGTCTTTACGATGATATTCAAGGATATCTCTGTGAAACATTTATGGATAAGAATAGACCATTACAGAAACAGATCTGACTAAATAAAATTACATGTTTTCAATAATGAAAGTTAATTTATATTTACTCTCATAAATATCAAATAAATCCTGAATGCATGTTATTTCTTAATCCACTAGATTGGGAACCCAGCTTTGCAATAAAACTAAGTTTTCTTTTAAGGAGTCAACCGGCCTATCAAACTAAGAACTGTTAAACCTAGCTAAAACATATTCGTGGTTTAACAGAGTTCCTCAATCAAAATTTGAGGCAAATCAGTTAATGGGTTCCTGAGTTATGATTTGACATACAAACAAACAAACAGAATTTACTACTTTTTATGTATAAATAGATGCACTACCAGTTCAAATACCATACCTAGCTAAAGCCAGACACTCCCTTTAAAGAGTACTATTGTGAATCTGGAAAACCCTAAATATAGTGGGTCTCTTTAAAAATCTGGAAAACCCTACATAAAGTGGGTCTCTTTAAAATATTTACTTTATGCAAAGGAGTTGAGTCTTTGTCACAAACTCTGATTTTCTAATATCTATATCTTTGTAACCCAATGTTGTAGACCTTTAATATTTTAAACTAGGAATTCTGTTACATCAAAATTCGTAATTTGAGCTATCAAAGGTTTACCCCATTAGGTTTCAAATATATTAAAAAGATATGAAAAAGATGAATAATATTTCACTACTTTATCCCTTTTCAACCACATCATGTACGGAATCTAATCATTAAAATATTAGCATTAAAAGAATATTTACAAGGAAAAAGACCCAAACAAACCTTAAGCTCGAAATACCCACAAAGGATAAGACTTCATAGACGATCGTACAAATTTAAATTGTCTCTATCCTGATTTCCTGATTTCTTCTGTCTTTTTTTGCCAAATAATTAAATAAGCCTACACAGTGTTCTTAAATGGGGTAGAGGTTTAACACAAATTTCAATGAACACGGACAATTCTTTTACGAGATATATGTGATAACCTGCTCAGAACAGGTTTTATTCAAATCGGTTTTTTTCCTTTTTGCCTTTTATTTCCATTTTTAGCTTTGCTGAAATAGACTCTCAAACCCATGTCATATTAACACAAAAATAACGCAAAAGATACCTAAAGATTGCACAAAATGCAAGCATAATATTCTTGAATAAATTAAATTTTACTTGGAAGAAAATACTGAAACTTTTTTGTCTTTTTTCATTATTAACTTTGCTAATGTAAATTCACTGTAGAAAAGAAAGATAAACCCCCCTTGCCACGCCCACAGCCAAATACTATTTGATCCTTCTCTATAGTACTGCATGCGGTCAANCCTTCTAGAATCTTGTACTCGTACATTTTACTCAGTTCCAAGAATGTAATGCAAGGAAAGTTAATTACAGTTGGGTATACTCTGCGTATACTTTTTTTACAAAAGCAAAGTACAAATGTAATTATAAACATTTTTGATGGGGAGGACCTTTTTATGACGGGCGGATTTTTGGTAATGACAATTTGGTAATGGTAATGACAATTTGGTAATGACAATTTTGTAATGACAATTTGGTAATGACGATTTGGTAATGACAATTTGGTAAGCTTACAAAAGTGACAATTTGGTAATGACAAATTGGTAACTACAAAAAAGTGACAATTTGGTAATGACAAATTGGTAACGTCATAAAAGTGACAATTTGGTAAGGTGACAATTTGGTAACGACAATTTGGTAATGACAATTTGGTAAGCTTACAAAAGTGACAATTTGGTAATGACAAATTGGTAACTACAAAAAGTGACAATTTGGTAATAACATTTTGGTAACTACAAAAAGTGATAATTTGTTGATAAAAGTTTACACTTTACACTGATTATTTAATTTCTCAAAAATATAAAAAATGTTCTCCCGGAAAATACGCCCTGTTGCTATACGTAGCTGTTTCTATACGTTGGATTTATATAAGGTTTGACGCAGATTGATTTGAAAAAGTGTAATACTGAGAATAAATGACAACAATAAATATGATAATTTCTGGCAAAACTATTTTCTTTTTAACATCATTAAATTCACACACGATTTATTCTTAAATGTTACCCTACTATTCCATAAGTTTATGCGTCTCACTTTAAATAGATAATAATAATTTCGAGACTATGTACTCACAGACGAACACAAACTGCTCATATGCTCTACATGGATAGGCTAAGAAAACTATATAAGACTATTTAGTGTCCCGGCACGCCATGCTACAGTTCCCTGAAAGGTTTTTTGACTACCATCTAATGGCCACTTGTTGCATATAATATCCATTTAGGGGTTAACTTTTACAACTTTTAAAGAAATACTCCAATTTTTAACATTTTAAAACATAAAATTTATTAATTTAGTTTATTTTTAAAGTTTTTGTATTTCTTCTCCAAAGGATCCTTAATTATCCCTGAACACAGATGTCCGCTGATTGGTCATGTACAGTACTTGTATACAATAGAACCTGCTGTGGAAAAAATTGCATATTCTATTGGTCTCTGTAACTGATATCTTATCTCTGTCTGTGTGCTACAAATTTTCTCTGCTTAAAATATTTTCTGTTAAAATCACGAAACCTCCTAAAGTTCAGCCGAGATTTTCTGTTCCTGATTTCATCACGTTTTGATCTACATATAATATTTAAATTTTTACAAATTTATTTAATGATTTTGTATAAGTCTATTAATGTTTGATTGGCCCAACAAAAAATACTAAAGATCTGAAAAATCTGTCTATTCGGAAATACAGTATTTGAACCCCCCCCCCCATATTTAAAAAATTGTGTTTCCGATTCCAAATATTAACAATGTTGAATGTAAAGACGACCCAAAACCAAAAAGTTTGCTTTTAGGTTTCTGCGCTCAATTGAGTATTATAATTATTTAGTAAATGATTAAAAACAGAAATAAGACAGTTTTGGTCTACATAGAGACCCTGAGGTCAAGGAAATGGACTAAACAAATTTCGTTCAATCGTCTCTGAAGTCTCATCCTTTGTGGGTAACTCTAACAAAAATGAAAATTATCAACATGAAGCACTTTTAAAGTAAACAAGTTGGTGATCTATTCATTAAAAATGTGTCGCCCATTACTTTACAGTTAAACACAATTTTGTTTAATCAGTTTTATTTTAATTTTATAATATTAAAAATATCAAAAGAAAAAGCATGCATTTAAAAAATCAAAGTACAGAACATGCATAAGATTCACTGGGAGAGTAAAAAACGGGATTTGCGTTGTTTTACACAGTAATAATTTGTCAAAGCTTAAATATAGAAAAAGGATAGGGGCCAGGTAAAACTTCAAAATGTGTAATAGAATTCTGTGACGTCTGAGGTTTAAGGAAACTCCGACTAAATACCAAAATGATCAACAATTATAGTTATAAACAGACAAACGTTGAAAGATATTTGAATATCATCCCTGTACAAAATCTACATATCGTTGTTGTATATATCAATAAAATTAAGACAACTTTAGATTTCAATTTTTATTTCTACCAAACTTTCCTACAATACCCTACTAACCCGAAAACTTTAAAATACGTGTGACATACGTATATCAGTTGAAACGCAACAATCTTCTTATAACATTTTATTCATAAACAAATTGTTTCATGCTTTTATGCAATCATCAGTTTGTATGTATACGTATTTTTAGGTTTAGGAATACGTAAAAATACGTATTTTTCATACGTATGA